CAATCCATCCCACGTGTTAGACTTCAGAACTGTCCAGTTGGACAAGGACTTGACCTGTGAGGAGAAGCCGGTAGCTATTCTAGACCGGCATGTTCGTCAGTTGAGATCAAAGAATTTCCCTTCAGTTCGTGTGCAGTGGAGAGGTCAGCCTGTTGAGGCATCGACCTGGGAGTCCGAGTCCAATATGTGGAGTCGATATCCCCATCTTTTCCCCGACTCGGGTACTTTTCTATGTCCGTTCGAGGACGAACGATTGTTTTAGAGCTGGAGAATGTGATGACCCAAAAGGTCATCTGTTGTTTTAGAAGTCAAAACTGTGTTCCAAGGCCTTAAAACCCTCATTTTTCCTACCTCGATTTGTGTGCACAGTCAGGGCGCATTTCTGGAAAGCTTTTATGTGAACTTTAAGAGAATATAGATTTTAGCCTTTAAAATTGATTAAAGTTGACTTCGGTCAACATTTTTGGTAAACGGACCCGGACCTGTGATTTGACGGTCCCGTAGGGTGCACAGTAAAATATGGGACTTGGTCGTATGCCCGGAATCGAATTCCGAGGTCCCTAGCCCGAGAAAAATAATTTTTAAAGAAAATTGTTTGATGGAAAATATAATGGCTTTTGGAAATGAAATGATGTGTGTTTTTTATGGTATCAGGACAGTATCTTGGTTCCGGAGCCCAGTGCAGGTTTTAAATAATAATTAAGTCGAATCTATGAAATTTGGTAAGGATCGGAGTTGATTTGGTACAAATCGGACCCTTAGTAGAGAAAATGAAAATTTCAATGTTCTTAAAGAATTTCATGAATTTGAGGTTAAATTCGTAGTTGTTGATGTTATTTTGATGATTTAATTGCACGAGCAAGTCCGTATGATATTTTTAGACTTGCGTGCATGTTTGGCTTGGAGCCCTGAGGGCTCGGGTGAGTTTTAGATAGGCCACGGAGTGAATTTGGACTTAGAGAAATAGTTGTTGCAGGTTCATTTGTGTTGCAGGCTTTGATCTCGCAATTGCGAGGTCAGGCTTTGATCTGGCAATTGCTAGGGCTTGATCGCATTTGCGAAGAAATCCCAGGCCTGCCTTGATCGCATTTGCGATCCACCCCTTCGCAATTGCGAAGTCATCAAGCATGGCCAGTTATCGCAATTGCGATGAATTACTCGCAATTGCGAGGGGAGCAGACAATGCAACAGGTTTGCAAATGCGAAGCATGTTTCGCATTTGCCAGCTTCGCAATTGCGAAGCTCATGTCGCAATTGCGACATCTGCAACCTATTAAGTGGGATTTTGACGGGATTTCAACTCATTATTTCAATTTTTCAAACACTAAGCTCCCATAGGCGATTTTCTTGAAGAGAGTTATTCCCCAAATCATAGGTAAACGATTTCTAACTTATTTTCTTCAATCTGTAACATCTTTTTACATGATTTCACTTCAAAATCTAGGGGTTTTCATGGGAAATTGGGTGCTTTTGGGTAGAAGTTAGGATTTTTCGAATTCTCGGGATTTGGACCTCAAATTGAGGTCTGATTTCAAAACTAATTGCATATTTGAGTTCGTGGGTGAATGGGTGATCGGGTTTTGGTTCGAACTTCAGGCTTTGACCAAGCGGGCCCGAGGACGGTTTTTGACTTTTGGGAAAACAATAGGAAATCTATTTTCATGCATTATAATTGGTTTATTTAGCATTTATTGATAGTATTAAGTAAATTATGACTAAATACAAGCAGATTGGAAGTGAAATCGAGAGGTAAAGCGGTAATTGAGGCTTGATTTTGTCCGTGGAATTGATGTAAGTGTTTGGTCTAACCTTAGCTTGAGTGAATAGGAGTTGTGGTCTAATTTGCTATGTGTTAGTGTTGAGTACGACGTGTAGGTGTGGTGACGAGTATCTATACGTTGGTGTTAAGCATGCCCGTGATTCTTATATCATGATTTTTGTGACTCTATTATGTATTGTCTATGCTTAAATTGAGGAATATCAGTGTTGAACAAGACCCATTATAGTTTCTTGGTAATTGATTATCGTTGAGTATTGGCCCAAGTTGAGGATTATTTTGTGAAGTAATTGTTGAAAAGATATTGGTTATAGTTGATTCCTTTGCCGGGATATTATTGTATCTATTGTTGATTCCCTTTCCTGGATGTTATTGTTTCTATTATTGATTCCCTTGCCGGGACATATTGTTTCTATTGTTTGGCTGAGAAAGAGAGTAAATCACGAAGGATGATGTCGTGCATGATATTGTGAGAGAGCGTAAATGCACAAAGGGTAATGTCGTGCCGATATTATGAGAGTGTAAAGCACGAAGGGTGATGTCGTGCCATGCTTGTGAGAGTTAATGCACGAATGGTGTTGTCGTGCCAATATTGTGAGAGTTGCACGAAGGGTGATTCCGTGCCATGATTTTGAGAGTTAATGCACGAAGGGTGATGTCGTGCCGATTCTATTGATTCTTATGGTGAGGACGAGTGTAAAAGAACGAAGGGTGATGTCGTGCACGTGTTATGGTTTTCCTTACTTCTGTTGATATAATTATGGCGTTCTTTATGCTTCTCTACTGAATTTCTGTTAAGTATTTGATATTCCCCGCAGAATGCTTCCCTTCCCATCTTTATCTGTTACTCCCTGTTTTTATTATTCGTTTGTATATGATTTAACTGTACAGGTTTACATGATTGTCGTGTCCTAGCCTCTTTACTACTTCGTCGAGGTTAGGCTCGACATTTACCAGTACATGGGGTCGGTTGTACTTATAATGCACTCTGCACTCTTTGTGCAGATTTCGGTGCCAGACTTGGTGAGTAGCTTGAGGTAGCTGCCTTTAGTCCAAGGAGACCAAGGTAGATCTGCTGGCGTCTGCAGAGGCTGAAGTCCCCCTTTTCCCTGCTTTAGCTTTTGTTGTCTCTTTTCATTCCGAGAACAGCTGTACTTTTCCTTCTAAACTAGTGTTTGTAGCTATTCGTAGATGTTCGTGAAATTGTGACACCAGATTCTCGGGGTAGACGTGTATTGGAGTATTTTGAATTGTTATGATACTTTCGCACTTTATATATGTTTAGTTTTAATTATTGTTTATACCTATTTGGTTTAATAATCAATACGTTAGTATGTATCGGTTGGCTTGCCTAGATTTCACGAGTAGGCGCCATAACGACTCCCGAGGATGGAAAATCTGGGTCGTGACACCGTATCCTTTTATATTTGGGCACCGCCTAATGGGCTTGGGCCTCCGGGATTTGGTAGCCCGAGTCGTCCGAATTTTTATCGGATGACAGTCCCCGAGTAGGGGTAGCCCATGGGCTAATAGTCCACGAGTAGCGGTAGCCCGTGGCTTTAGGATCCAGGATCGAAGAAGCAAAATGTATGGTAATAAAGTGTAAGGGAAGTAGAAATTTCTTTCATTGCTTAATATGTAAGGTACATGATCGGAGGCGCATAAACCTTGTGACGTGGCTAGAGTGGACTACGTAGGCACGATTCGCATGACCGTTTGACTCTTACAATGAATCCTAACCACCAATTCTTACCTTTATTCCCCTTTGCGAAAGAGCTTAAGCAAGGGTAATGCCCCCAATATTCGAGGCCGAACTTGTGAGGGATCTGATACTATTGATTTGACGCAAACAATCACTAATTCCAATTTATAGTCGATTTTCAAATCTAAGGTAGCACATTTTGTTGCCGCCTCGTTAAAAACCTTGCCAAAAAACCCACTTCGGGACAAAACTGGTTCAAGGGAAAAAAGAGTGCAACTCGTGCTTTCGTTGATTCCGCCTTCCCATTACCACTAGGGTGATAAGGCGTCGATGGTATCTTCTTGATCTTGTGATCTTCGAAAAACTTACTCACCTTGCCGCCGACGAATTATTTCCCATTGTCGCAAATGATCTCGGCTAGTATCCCAAATCGACATATTATGCGATCCAAGATGAATTCAATGACTTCTTTCTCTCGGACCTTCTCAAATGCTTGGGCCTCGACCCATTTGGAAAAATAATCGGTCATGAATAGTATGAATTAAACTTTGCCGGGTGCCCATGGCAGGGAACCGATGATGTCCATTCCCTACTTCATAAATGGCCATGGAGACATGACCGAGTGGAGCATCTCTCTTGGTTGAAGGATCATCAGGGTGTCTCTTTGGCACTCGTCGCATTTTTACACAAAGTCTTTCGCATCCTTTTCCATTTTATTCCAGTATTAGCCGACTCTAATTAGCTTCCGAACAAAGGATTCTTCCTCCGAATGGTTCCCGCAAATGCCCTCGTGAACTTCTCTCATGGCATATTCGGTCTCCCCCGTCCCTAAGAATCTGGCCAGTGGACCGAAGAAGGATCTCCTGAATAATGCCCCTTCGACTAAGAAAAATCTGGCAGCCTTGGTGCGCAGGGCTCTTGATTCCTTGGGATCCGAAGGTAACTTTCCTATCTTCAGGTAGTCTATGTATTTGTTTCTCCAATCCCAAGTCAAACTTGTGAAGTATACTTCGGCATGACCTTTTTCTACTACCGAGTTCATAAGTTGTACCACTGCCCCCGAGCTAAATTCATTATAATCGACATACGACCCGTAGTTAGCCAGTGCATTGACCTTTCAATTTTGATCTCGGGGTACATAATGCAGAGTCCACTCCTTGAATTGGTACAAGGTCACTTGCAATTTGTCCAAGTACCTCCGTATCCGTTCTTCTTTTACTTCGAACATCCCATTGACTTGATTTACGACGATGAGGGATTCGCTTTTGGCTTCGATCACTTCGGCCCCAAGGTTCTTATATAGTTCTAGACCTGCAATCATGGTCTCATACTCGGTTTCATTGTTAGTCAACTTGCAGTTCTAATAAACTTCCTGATCACGCTTCCCAGAGGTGGTTTTAACACGATACCGAGCCCGGACCCTTTCGCATTGGAGGCACCGTCCATAAATAGGGTTCAGATTCCGAATTAGTCCCCCAGGTGAGCCCGGACCATTTCACCTATATTTTTGCTCATGTGTGTTACCCACCAGACTCTGCTGGATAATCAGCAAGTGCAAATGTTGACGGAGAAGGCTCGACTCCGTAATGCTGATGCTCAGTTCAAGGTAACCTTAGTGATGATGATGTTATCACCAACTAATAGTCTGGACTTATTTAATATCATTAACTGATTCCTTGGTTTGCAGGAGCAAGAGGTTCTTAAGCTGAAGCAACAGCTAAATGAGTTCATAGAGGAGAGGAAAGGGTATTAATTGTCAATTAGATTTTGAGATACCCTTGTTATTTTTTGGATAAGTGCATTTCTCATTATTTTTTTTGTTGATTAGATGGATTGAGGAAATTGAGAGAAAACAAGCAGAGATGGTGGCTGCACAGATTGCACTAGAAAAACTGCGTCAACGAGATCACTTGCTTACAACTGAAAATGAAATGATAAAGGTTGGAAATGTTGTGATTTTTATTTTTCTTTCAATTACACCTCGGCAGGTTGTTAATATATTAAAAGCCACTTATTTTCTGGACATTTTCTCAGATGGAGAATGTAAATCATAAGAAGAGGATCATGGAACTTGAAGCAGATATAAAGAAGTTGTCCGGTCAGCAAAACCTTCAACGACGCATCCACCATCATGCTAAAATAAAGGTACATACCTTTTACCATGCTTAAGACTTCCCGGACTCTGAAGATCAACGCCATGAAAATGCTAGTTGCATTTTTTGCTACTGCACTAATCCTCACTGCTTGTTTATCTCGTCACAGGAAGAGAAAAATTTACTGAAAAATCAGAATGATGACCTTATTGTTAAGTTGCAGAAAGCTGAAACAATTCTTTCAAGAGTCAGGGAAGAGCTGGCTCACTTCCGTCAAACTAATGGAAGAAGCCCCTACATTAATTTTGATAAGGAGCAAATACTGGAGAACAAGTTGAAGGTTAGTATTCTACCGCAGTCCCAAAGTAAAAGTGCAGGGGATCTACCGGGAATCGAACCCGTAGTCCCAAAGTAAACAAACAAGGGGGGAGCTACCGGAATCCCACATCCATAGTCCCAACATAAATGCACAATCACAACTAGAAGGTACACGGAAACGAAGTACAAAAGACAAGCAAATAGGTAGTACTGGCCTAGCATGCTTCACGTAGTACAGTCAAGGCAACTTAAGCAATTAGGCAAGTGATATCAACTAAACATGCTTTCCTAATCTAGCACAGGTTATAATTGCAAGTAGAATAAAGTAAATATGAAAGGAACTCAATCTTACTATCTTAAGTAAAATGAGGATTTTCAACAATTGGCTCAAGTACGCGGTCGTCACCTCGCGTACAAGGCACCCAAAATAACAAATAACAAATCCTAAGGGGAAAGGTCCCCCACACAAGGTTAGACAAGCTACTTACCTCGAACCGGCTCAATATCAACTAGAAACCACGCTCTTGCCACAAGTATCCGACTCCAAATGGCCCAAATCTATTCAATTCCATTACACATTGTAAATAACATCGCAAACAACTGGTTTTGCTATTTAATTCAAAGCTACGACGTGAAATTAGGTGAAATGACCAAAATGCCCTTCAGGACAACGCCTCGGAATCGAATAATTTTTACATTTTTAGAACCCTCGTATTCTCACGAGTCTAACCATATAAAAATCTCCCAAATCGGAGGTCAAATGCCCACTCAAAACTCAATGGTTTAGCCTATGAAGTTTTACCCCAAATTATTCCAATTTTGATCCCAAATTCGAATTTTAATGATGGATTTAACTACAAAATGATGAAATATAACTAGAAGGGATTAAAGAAACGTTACCCAATAATCTCCTCTTCAAAACCCTCTGAAAATCGCCCTTACCCGAGCTCAAATTGATTTTTCTAACTTATGAAATCAAACCCTCGAAATTTCTATATCTGCACAGGTATTTCCTCTTTTGCGGACAAGGGACCGCATCTGCGGTCCCGCTTCTGCGGTTTTTCATTAAATTCCAGGCTTTCGCTTCTGCGATATTAAACCGCACCTGCGGTTGCCGCTTCTGCGATACACTTACCGCTTCTGCGGTTTCACACAAAGGGCCCAGGGCCGCATATGCGATAGGGGCCTCGCAGGTGCGTAACCGCATCTGCGGTAGGTCTTCCGCACCTGCGGAAAAAGCTGAGGGAGCCCAATTCCGCTCCTGCGATGATCAGGCCGCTTTATGACAGGTACCAGCAGTCTTCAGCAACTCTTAAATTCCAAAAACCTTCCGTCAACCATCCGAATTCATCCCGAGGCCCCCGGGACCTCAACCAAAAGCACCAATAACACCTAATACCTCATTCAAACTTGTACCAATCCTTAAACCACCTAAAACAACGTCGGAAACTCGATAAATTCAAGGATTTGAGCCTAAGAACTTCAAATTCCATCAAAATGCACTTTCGATTAAAAACCTAACCAAAACACGTCCGAATGACCTGAAATTTTGCGCACACATCCCAATGACATGACGGAGCTACTGCAACTCTCGGAATTCCAATCCGACCCTCGGATCAAAAACTCACTATCGGACCGGAAACTTCAAAAAATCAACCTTCGGCATTTCAAGCCTAAAAGAGCTACGGACTTCCAAAATACATTCTGAACACGCTCCCAACCCCGAAATCACCTAACGGAGCTATCGGGACCATCGGATTTCCATTCCGAGGTCGTCTTCACACTGTTCCGACTATGGACCACTTTTCCACACTTAAACTCTCATTTAGGGACTAAGTGTCCCAAAACTCTCGGAAACTCAACACCGAACTCTCGGAAACTCAACACCGAACGTCCCGGCAAACCAAAATAGCAGAAATGAACTTAGGGGAAGCAGTTAATGGGGGATCGGGGCGTAAATTCTTAAGAAGAGCGGCCGGGTCGTCACATCAGGGAAATAGATGAATTACGAGGTTCATTAAATAGCATCAGTTCTGCTGACAACGATCACAATGGTGGGAATGAAGTCAGAAAGGTAATTCTCTTTCTGAGCTCCAAACAAGCATGTTTCTGTCATTATATAACTACAAATAAGAGAAGAAGAAGAAGAAGAAGGATGATTAGAGACTTTTATCATGATTCAGAAAGTTGTTGCACATTTGAATTACACTAAACTGATGCTTTTTCTGACTTAGTAATGAATCTGAGATGAGAATATACCACAATTTGGCCAGAACAAAGTAATCCCACGAAAAAACAGAATAATCTTGAGTTGAAGTTGCGCTCAAGCCTCAAAAGCTTTTGGGGTAACGTAATGTTCATAAGTTGACCAATAAAATACACGATATTAAAGCACAGTCTGTCCAAGTTCCTACTGTTTTCTGATGATTTTTGACCATGTATTTTGCTTATAGGATCGCACTGAACATTCTATTGTGTGATTTACTTTTTTTTCATAACTCAAGTTTGCTTATGTTCTTTATGTGGATGACTATAACCATAATTTTTCAGGAGTCAATACCAGAAGCTCTGGCTCTTGATGGCAAATCAACAACTGCTGATCAGAAAGAGAAGGAAGATACGAGGAAAGAGGATATGATGAAGAAAATTGAGGAGATTATGGATTTGCAACTTGAGTTGGACATTCTGAAAGTTATAGTTCAAGAAGAAAGGTTGCATCGCAATGAATTGGAGCAAAGTGCTGAATCCATGATGCAAGACATAGAGTCATCAAAAGAGCAGCTTCTGTTAGTGACCAAGAAATGTGAAGATGTTCAGGCAGAACTCGGGGAAGCAAAATCCATTATTGAAGCTCTTGAATCTCAACATCTCTTAGCAATCACTGAGGTAGAAGATCTAAGAAACAGTAACAGCCATTATGCTGAATTACTGCAGAAACAGGAGCTTGAAATCTCTTCCTTGAAGGAGCAAATGATTCGTCAAGAATTGAGAGATCTCTCATCTTCGAAGCTCTTAGAAAGTGATGATTCTCCCTTGCAAGCAAAGCTTAAAAAGATGCATGATTCCCTTGAGAAGGCCAAAATGTTGAATCGGCGGTACCAAAATGACTGTGAATTTCAAGTCTCAAATGAGGAAGCGATGGATGAAATAAGTAGGCAGGCTGAGGCAGAAACTGCTGAAGTGATTGTATGCTTGCAGGAAGAACTCCTTCTTCTGCAGCAGGAAGTCAGAAATAGTAGCTTGAAAGAGATGGAGAGCACAAAGAGGTTAACTGAGCTGGAAACAGAGGTTAAAAGTTTGGAGGCAAAATTGTCTTTGATGACAGAAGAAAATCGAAAACTTGGTGAAATTGTACATGAAAAAGAAAAAGAGTTAATAGATATGTCTGAAGAATGGGCACAGGTAAACAGCGAGATTGAAGCTATTGTAAGTGGGGGGCATGAGGCTCTCAAAGATGCCTGTGAGCAACTGGATTTTATTTCCAGTACATTTCCAGATAAGAGAAGTAGGATATCTGAACAATTTGGCAGAATGACAAAATGCATTTTTGAAAAGGATTTATTTATTGAAGAGCTCAATCAGAGTCTGGAGAATGCTCTCAACAAAAGGAATGATATGGAATCCATGTTGAGATCTCTTAGAGGGGCAGCTTTAGTTATGACGGAGGCGCACCAGCTAGATTGCCGTGAAAAGGATGCTGAGATACTTTCTTTGACATCCCAGTTAAGCTCAAAGGCACATGTCATCTCAGAACTTGAGAACAAGATTAAGCATGGGGAGGATCAACTCAGAAAGGCGTCGGTCAGTGCAACTGTTGCTTTTGTGGTGGTTAACTGGTTGTCTGAACAGAATTCCAACTATATTGATGCTTTAAGCCAGAAGGACATGCAGCTTAAGGAATCTCTAGAAACAAGCAGACAGAAGGATGCTATTCTCTGTGATCAGGCCTCAGTAGTCGCTGCTGCAGAGAATCAAAATGAGTCTCTTGAGGAGCAAAGACAAAAGCTTGAAGAAAGTGATCTGTTGAAAACGATTGAGAAACTTACAGAGCTGCAAGTAGGTGTTTCAACAGTACGTTCGCACCTGAGTGAGTGCGTGGAAAGAAGTGGAAGTCCTGGAAAAGATATTAGCAATGAAACTGATGCATCTTTTTCTTCTGATTACAAGTTTGAAACACGGGTATGTTATGCGCCGTTATGTTTGAAAATTACTCATTCTTATAGTCTATCTGCTTCTTAAGTGGCATGGTAGGTTCCCGGTGATGTTTGTATTATTATTGTAATCCAACTTTAATGTATTGTTGCAGACAGGTACTGAGATAAGACAACACAGCCAGCACCTAGAGTCATGCACTCTTGAAGATAGGACAGCTGAAAAACCAGACCATTCTTCTGACAAAAGCAATAACATGCTTAAATCAGCCAGCAATCGGAAAACTTTTCAAATGAATTGGAAGGATAAGAATGCCAGAGATGATACAATTATTCTACTAAGGAAAGAAATGGAATCTGCTCTTGAATGCTTAAAAGGAATGCAAGCTGAAATGGCCAAATTATGCGTTGAGAAAGAAGCATTGCAGTCATCTGAGCAAAAGAGTAGAGAGAGGATTGGAGATTTTGTGACTGCAGTAACTTCTCTACAGACCTATATGGATAAGTTTGAACATGAACTTGAATTTAAAGTGGAGTTAGTAGATGATAAATTACAGAAAATAGAAGATGCTGTGCAAGAGTCCTGCAGCTCCTGGTATGAGCAAAAAAAGGTAGGCCCATATCATAAAAACATCATATGTTTACTGCTTATGACTTGCAATGTGGGAATCCATCTTTTTGACTGTTATATTACAATTTTATCACTATAATCCTTGATAACAATCATCATGACGAAATAAATAATGCGTCATAAAATATAAGCATAGAGTTCAATGTAAAGGACAAACTCCTGCCATTAAAGTAAGTGTGATATAACCAACAACACAGTCTGATCTGCTCTCCTGGAATCCTTATCTGCAGCTACTTGAAGCTGAACTTTGTGATGCTAAGGCAGTGGCGGCCCAGAAAACTACGGAAGCTTTCTGCATTCTAGCCAAATTCGAAGAGGTCCAAGATACCATGAAAGATGCAGACATCATGATAAATGAACTGATGATAGCAAATGAATCCTTAAAGCTTGACATCAAAGATCTTAAGAGGAAGGAGATCAGCTTAGCCGAGCAGAGAGACATCCTTGTTAATGAAAATCAAAGCTTGCAGTCGGCTAATGATCTAAATAACATGCATTCAAGACTGGAGCATGAGTTTGAGTCAGATCTGGCAATGATGCAAAGGCTGGTATTAGAGATGGAGGATATAGTTTCACAAACAACAACCACTTCCACAGATGAGCTGAAGTCTGTAACTACTGATCTCCTTATCAGAAAGTCTCAGCTTCATGAATCAAACTAAGTGCATGAGGTCATGGCTTGAGGATATCTGGTCAGATATTATCGTCAAGGACTGCGCTCTGTCTGTCTTGCATCTTTGTCACATGGGCATTCTCTTAGAAGCTGCTGCTGGACTGAATGCAGAAAATGGGCTACTCCATCATGGGCTAAGTGAATCTAACTCATTAATATCGAAGTTGAAGGAGCAGAACATCAAAGCACAGAAAGAGCTTGAAATGTGCAGAACACTGAAGGGGAAATTATTGGCCGACATTAAAAGCAATTTTGATCGTGTACTAAGGAAAGAGTCTGATGCAGGGGAATTCACCTCCAAACTTGGATCCTTCGAGAAAAAACTATAAGATCTGCAGTTCCAGGAAGAGTCAATGTTAGCAAGGTCCGAGCAAATGGGATCCGAGCTTGTTGAGTTAATGAAAGAGATAGATCTCAGCAACAAAGCTGTCCTGACATCTGTTATAGATCAAGAAAGGGTGCTCAAGGACAAAGATTTCTTGCAAAAGGCTTTGAGTCATTAATTTTGTCATCTGAATTAGAAGAGAGCACCATATTAATATCTGAGTTGGAGAGAAAAACTAAGCATTTTTGTGAAGTTGCCTAAAGTTTGAAGAGAGAAATCATTTTTGGCAACCTAGATGTTGCATTAACTGCATCCATCCTACTTGACAAGGAGGTTGAGGTTTCTATCCTACAGCAAGAAGTTGCAGAAGCAGGAATGAAGCATCAGAATATGTTGGCTGAGCTTACTGAAATGAATTCAATGATTGCCAAAGTTCACTCTAGAAATAACGCTCTTGAACAAGATACTTGCTCACTGATGGAAGTTTCTTGTTTGAATGAGACATTGAAACGTGAACTTGGTGAATTGGTGGAAGCAAAGACTGTTCTGACAACCCAGGTCCAGGAACTTAGCTCTGAAAATGAGAAGTTGCTTGAAGAATTACAAACTAAGAACTCAGCCCTTGAAAGTTCTTCAAGTCGCATCTTCTTCCTTGACCAACAAAACCAGATGTTGCAGAATGAAAGTTGCTTGCTGGAAGCTGCATCATGTAGACTCCAGAATGATATGGAAATGAAAGATGCAGAAATTAGCAAAATGAATTGTCTTGAAAAGGAGATTGAAGCACTGCAGCATGAAATAACAGAGTTAAAAGGAGAACGTTGCCTACTCTTCCAGGAGTTGGAGGTCAAGAACGCAGATATGGAATATTGTGATCTGAAACCGCAGATCGAGAGAATCAATGCTTTGGATGCAGAGAATGCTTCCATGAGAAACCAACTCAGATCTCATGAGAAGTGTACATATGACACTTTCGATATGGTGCTCAAAGTAAACAGCATTGGGAGTAAAGCATTTTATGCTTTTCAGAATAAATGTGCTGAAATAGATACCGTGTTACAGGATATACATGAAGAAGTTGAGAGAGGATCCAAGTTTTTGCAAGAGTTTGAATCATTGAAGAATTTTGCCGAAGAGATTTTATTACAAAGCGCTTCCCTGCAAAATGAGTTAGTAGGAAGGATGACATCATCAAAGGAATGTTATTTGATCTTAGCTTCTATTAGTACTTTGGAAACTGAGCTTGATGAAGCTGTTTGTAAAGGTCAAGCGCTTGAAGTTCAGTTGCAGGAAAAAAAAAATAAGATAGCTCTTTTGGAGTGGGATATCACGCAAAAGTGCAAAGACATAGAATTGCTTTCAATCGAAAACTCGGAGCTGGGTGCCAGTGCCAAGGACACCATCGAAGCAAAATGTTCCATGGAGGAGGAATTGTTAGAGAAAAGGGAAGTTTGTGAGAACTTAGAAATAGAAATCACCAAATTTGGTGATATTGTTAGTGAAATGAACAATTCAATCGAATGCTTGAAGAGAAATCTGAATGACGTTACTAGTGAGAGGGATGACCTCCATGGAGAAATTGTCAGATTGAAAAGGGAGCTAGATATGGCACAAACGCTTGCAGAGGAAAGTGAAGCAGTTGCCATAGAAGCAAAAGAGGTGGACTCATGTTATAATATACTTTCTTTAGTTATTGACCTCCAGTGTCTTCCGTTCCCCCCCCCCCCCACCCCCCCCCCTCCTTTTCTTTACAGAGGGAGGAGCTTGAACTAGAACTTCATGCTATCAAGCAACAAATGAACAATGTAAAAGGCAGTGATGTCGGCATGAAAAGGTTCTGACAACCTTACCATGTGACATGAATTCTCAAAATCGGACCCTTTTAGGTTTGTAAATGTTTTGATTTTTATTTATACAGGCATCTACAGGAGAAATAAAAAATCTTCAAGAAGCCAGTCAGCGCATACAACTTCTTGAGGGAGAAATCATCTCAAGAGATGCTGAAGTGATTTTCATCCTCTATTATCTTTTTACGAAGTTTTGTTCTTTAAGCTCAGTCAGCCAGTCGTTATAAATGTCAATAACTAGTTAGATTAACTTTATTTCATTTTATTTGATAAGGAGCAAATACTGGAGAACAAGTTGAAGGTTAGTATTCTTAGAATTTAATGTTGCCTAGGACTAGGAGTAACCCCAATGTGACAGAGAGAGAAGAATCCTATTGTTGTATGTATAGGACTTAAAACACTTTGTAATTTGTCCAACAGGAAAAGGAAGACGAAAGACTGCAATTGGCGCAGAAGTTACTTGGCCTGTGTGCTACTGTGCTGAAGGTCAGGAGAACTTCATCTTCCATTTACTTAAGTACCATAGGATATGTAGTTCTATAGCTACAGTTCTTTGAATTTTGTCAATTGGCATTTGTTTTAACAATTGGAACATATACTGTAGGCTGCTGGAATAACTAGACCAACATCCGAGATAGGGATCTCAGCAGCTGAAGAAGCACTTGAGCAGCTCAAAAACAAATTGAATGCACTGGAAAGAGAACTACAAGATGCCAAATTTAAGGTAACATACTAACATCCATAATATTTCAATCATTTTGCTTCATTGAAAACCTCAAAACACAGTTTGTATCAAACTAACGATGCCAAGTCACTAACAAATTCTCTCACCTTTACCAGAATAAAATGACTAATGAACGAATCCGATTGTCTGAGATCATGCCACAATCTTCCCCTGTAAGAATAGATGAAAATGGACAGACTTCAAACAGAGGATCTTCCCCTCTAACAGTCTTTGATCGGTGAAGCTTCTTTACCAACTTAAAGAGGCAAAGTTTATCTGTACATTGTGTTAGTTTTTTGCTAGCAGTTTGTTCATATGTTCTTTTGTATATGTATACAGTTCTCCACAAAAGTTGAAGATTATGGAAATTCATAAATAGTGAATCCATGATTTTTGTAATATATTCCTTTGAAAGTATTTAGGTAATATATGTAATTCATTTATTTGTTAATCTCCAAGTGTAAACTTCTACAATGGCATTTTGGTTTATGTTGTACAATCACAGTGCTGTCACAATTATGTTTTATTGGTGAAAAAGACAATTTGGACGTAACAATTATTTCTCGTTCCATGTTAAACTCTACTCCAATTTTTTCTTCTCTCGCCGGTAAGTACTTATATTTTTTTAGGGAACTTACACAAATGTCCCAAATAAGTCTTAACTTACCAACCTCTTGTCATTAGTCATAGACTTACCAAAACTAGCCAAGCACATATAAAAATTGAAAAACCAAATAAATAAGGTTCTTTCTCTCAAAGAACCACATGCAAAAATCTCCTTCCATATTTTTAAGCATTATTAGCAACATTAGATGCAAGATGGAAAGGAAAATTCATGGATGAGGTAGAAAATAATGTGATAAAATGCAAAATAAAAATAAAATACATATTCCAAAATCTAAGCAATAAAGAAACTTTTTCAATGGGTATAGTTGAAATTCATTGAAAACATATAGGTAAGTCAATATACAAAATTTGAGGAAGATTGGAGGTGATTTGAATTGGTTTTGTATCAAAATTCGTAATTGAATCGAGTTCATAAAATTCTTCTGCGACACATGTATCACGCTCACAGGTATACATGTGATACATAATTGATACATATGTGATACACATCATTTTTTTCATGTTCAGTTTTTACTTTGAATTTTCAATTCAAACCCCCTCAAAACTTCACCAAATCATTCCAAAACTGAGATTCAAGCTCCTTAACCACAATTTCCATAATATTTTTATACCAAAAGTTTACTTTCCAATAAATGATAAAATTAAGTTGTACAACAGTGAATCAGGTAAATGGGTATAGAAACGGGTGGGATAATTTCCTTACAACATCCACTTAGCAGCCTATTCATTGCCTTAAAGTTGCTTTCCAATAAATGATAAAATTATTTGTCATGCTTGCTCGTCTTTGTTGAAAAAATAAGGTTGCAAGAACCACCTCAATAGTTAGTTATTTAATGACCTTGAGGTAAATGCAAATGATTCTTGAAAGAATAATTTTGTTGTCTTATATGCATAAGCTTTTTAAAATTCTCACAGGATAATATGTGTTGCGTATGCACGAACTGTAAATTGAAAATTACATAAATGTCAAGAGTTATGGTCATAACATACAAGTTGAAACGTGAGAATGAAATATATACTAAGAACATCGTTTCAAAGTAAATATTAGACGTGAGTACGATTGTATTACATGTTTGAACCTAATAACATCAAAATTAATTTCATTACACATTGTTACGTTACACTTACTGGCCTCAACTTCATAAATTTAGCAGATATCAAATAATGTTACATTAAAATTTCGTGTTACTCATCACACTCATGTATACTTTAATACAATAAAATTATTTTAAAAAAATTGTATTGATTGATATCGGATACACGTGCAATGCACGTATCCAATAACTAATAATAATAAAAAATATGAATCTTAGACTTCTTGGTCAACACCTCTCACTTGAATTTGGTAATCAACAAACCAAGGCTCATTAGCTAACTGACCAAAATACCAAACTATACTTTTGACCAATAATTTTAGGGTTTTCCGCTATAATACAAAACCAAAGTAATATGAACTTGTGTTGCACACTTGCACCAAATGGTAAGGAGTTTTAGAAAATACTTTATTACAACAACAATAATTACATATTTCGAACAAGTCAGAATTAATTATATGGATCTCTCCTCGACCCTCATCATATCACTTCATTAAAGCTCATCTCGAACTAATAGTATATCCAGAAAAAACAAAATTCCTGACTAATTAATTAATAGGGTTGCTTATCTAGATACTATTATTTCATTATGCTCTATTCTTGTTGAGCTGTATGGATTTCAAGAATTAATACCGTCACTCATTATGCTTTCTCAGTAATGAATTAAAAAGTCTATTTCTGATTTGTTTGACTTTTTATCCATCAATTATTTCACATTTTTCATAATAATGTTGTGTTGTATTTGATCAAAAGCAATTACATAGTACAATACTATAATATAAGCCCATACCCACGTTCTCAAGAATCACATGTCTTAAATTGGAGTAGGTGGAGTCGGGTCAATTGATCTTTATATATTCGACAGTTCTATACCCTTTACTCTTCTGTTTCCTGATTTTGCATAATTCATACTGGAAGTGTGAATCTACAATGTTTTCTTCATTGGCTGCAATCAGTTCAAGCCATTTCAATGGAGCTTCTTCCCTTTGCAAAATTCAGGTTAAGTATGCAATCTAAATGCTCAATTTTGAATCATCATTCATTTAATTCGCAACTGAAATCTCAACCAATCTCAAAATTAGTTAGGGTTAGCTTTATGAAATTTACCTTTCTATTTTCCTGCTTTCTGATTAATGAAGCGATTTGCAGGAGGAACCGAAGGTTAGTAAGGTTGGGAATTTCAGAATAAGAGCTACATCGATGGCGACATCATCGCCAGCGCAAGGCTTGCAGTTTGGGGAGGGTAAAGCTAACAAGTTGGACAAATTGCGTATTGGTGTGCTTGGAGCTAGTGGTTACACTGGTACTGAGGTCTGTACAATTTAATCTTGCTCTTTGTCGAATTGACCCGTTTCAGTTTATTGTTCCATTGAAGAAAGACGCAAATGAAGTGTGTGTTTAATGAAGAAAGACGCAAATGGAGAAAGCTACAAATATATGGACAAAAAAATTGAAGAAAATTTATGATAAAGTGAAATATCAATTGTTTAATTTTGTCTCTTCTATCCTTATGCTCATTGGCAAGGAAAAGTATGCCTTAGAGCCTTGATGACAACAATGAAGCGTCCCCTAAGCAAGGAGAAGCACTCAAAATGTTTTGAGCCTCGCTTCAGGACTTAACCGCGCCTTTGATAACACGCACTCGGCTAATGTAGCTGTTATGAACTTGGCTTGTGCAAGGTTTGTGGTTTACGCTACGATGGGAAAGTGACCTTTGCCACTACATTGTTGATCGTCGCGTGTTGTTAAAACAACCAAGGTAGTTTAAATGGTTCCTAATATTTAGGAGGACAAGTCGCTTTTCTTGCTATAATGTTTCAAAGAGATTAAACATGGTGAAATTTATCAAGGAACGATATGGAAAATGGATCTTCAGATTCTTCTAAAAATTTGTCTGGATAGTCAAGTCGTTTTTGGAGATCTTACATAGTGGAAGAAGATACTTATTATTCTAAATCGTGATATGCTCGAGAGGTGAGTTTTACTCTTGAGCATTAGAAGTTATGTGTTATGTGCGGGGTAACGATTAGAAAAAGTTATGCATTATGTATGGGATGAAAACTCTTCGAAGATAAATGAGAGAATAATCTTTCCCCACATTTTTTAATTTAACTGAAGGACCCAATATGGCTAAAATGTTAATGGCGCTTTTCTGTACCCATTTATCTAGGTAAGTTAATGTTCTCCTTCTGCAGCGCGTGCTATCATGTCATTTGGTTGCTTTTGCTTGGTTACATTATGTGACGATCCGACCCGTCGTCTCAGGAGTTACCGCCCTGTTTCCCCATTTTATGCTTCTTCATGTTTCATTATCAGTAATTGGTGTGTTAGAGTTGATTTGGATTGGTTTTGGTAGGAAATGAGACACTTAGTCTCTTTAAAGAAGGCTTGGTTTGGAAAAGTCAACCGGAGGTTGACTTATGAGTTATAGGGCTTGGATGTGATTTCCGGCGATTCGTTTAGCTTCGGGGGATGATTTGTGACTTAGGAGTGTGATCAAAATTGATTTTGGAGGTCCGGTGAAGAATTAGGCTTGAATTGGCAAAGTTAGTATTTCGGCGAATTCCGGTTGATCGGTGAGATTTTGATCCGAGGGTCGGAATGGAATTCCGAGAGTTGCAGTAGCTTCATTAGGTGATTTCGGATGAGTGTGCAAAATTTCAGGTGATTCAGAGGTGGTTTGGTTGGGTTTTGATCGAATGCGAGTTTCGGAAGAATTTGAGGAACTGGATTTGATGTAATTTGATGGTTATAGTGTTAATCGTAGTGTTTTGATGATTGGAGCAAGTTTGAATAAGGTATTGGATCATGTTTGTGTTTTTGGTTGAGGTCCCGGGGGCCTCGGGGTGAGATCGGATGGTTAAACGGTGAGTTTTGGAATTTTTGCATGTTAAAGGTCTGCTGGTATATGGTGTTTTTGCAACTGCGGTTATGGGACCGCAGGCGCGGTCACGCAGAAGCGAAGGGAGCATCGCAGAAGCGAGATCTTTTCGGGGCCATTGTTTCCGCAGAAGTTGTTGGGTAGCCGCATCTGCGAAGTCGCAGATGCGGGATTTTGCATCGCAGAAGCGGGTCTTGGATTTTTGGGATTTTCCGCAGAAGCGGAATGAGACCGCAGAAGCGGAAGTCGCAGAAGCGATATTTTACCGCAGATGCGGTAATGACTGGGCAGAATGGGTTTTAATGATATTTCATCCGCGAGTCTAAGTTATTTTCCTCCATTGTTGAACATCTTGAGAGATTTTTGGGAGCAATTGAAGAGGGTTTCGACTGGGATTGACTGGAGGTAAGTTTTATGAGTTAAAAACATGATTATTATGTGAAATTAACCTAGAAATTCATGGAAATTAAGCCTAAAATTGATGAACTAGGGCTTGAGTTTTTGATATTTCAAATTGGGATTTAATGGGTCATTTGAGCTCGGAATTGATAGTTCTTAGTATGTATGAACTCGTGAGAAGATGAGGAAACCACTGATGTTAAATTTTCTAATTTTCGAGAAGTGGGCACGGGGCTCGGGTTTTGCTAATTTCGAGATTTTTGCTATTTTTTGATTGTTTTCGATTGGGTATTGTCCCATTGGCATAATTTGATGTATTCGCTCTGATGTTGGATAGATTCGACGCGTGTGGAGGCGGTTTGAGGGGCAAAGGCGTCGCGAGCTAGAGATTTCACCGGTTCGAGGTGAGTAATGATTGTAAATGATATCCTGAGGGTTTGAAACCCCGGATTTGCACACCATAATGCTATATTGAGGTGACTTGCACGCCGGATAGCGAGCGTGGGGTAGAGCACCATTGGGGATTGTGACTTGGTCCGTCCCGATTGATGATTTTATCGCGTATTTGACTGAAACATATTTGTTATTATCATGATTTGGGCTGATTACCATATTTGGGCTTCGTGCCAATTATTTGAACCCTTCGGGGATTTTATCATTGTTTCCTCACTATTTAACATACTACTTGAACTCAGTCCTGTTAATTATACAGATTTACGAACTCAGCCGTTTTAGTTGAACATTGAGACTTAAATGATACTTTCCACTGTTAATTGGGCTGAGCACTACTATTTTTATTGATGCCCGGGGGGCTTATGATATTTTCTGGACTGAGTGAGGTTTTCAGGCCTCGAGCGTGAGGTGAGGAGGCTTTCAGGCCTCGAGTGATATGTGAGGAGGCTTTCAGGCCTCGAGTGATATGTGAGGAAGCTTTTAGGCTGCGAGTGTAATGTGAGAAGGCTTACAGGCCTCATGTTGATATGTACAGGCTTTCAGGCCTTATGATGATATAGCGATTGGGCTGTAGGAGACCCTCCGAAGTCTGCACCCCCACAGTGAGCGTGGGTACCCATGTGATTTGAGAGTGAGCCCGAGGGGCTGATGTTGTACTGTGTGACTGATACGGAGCCCGAGGGGCTGATAGTGTTCTGAGAGATATGATACTGTGCCCGAGGGGCTGATACTGTTCTGAGCGATTGATATATAGCCCGAGGGGCTGGTATTGTTTTGAGATATTGTCCGAGGGGCGAACTTTGATGTGCTCATCTTGCATATTTACTTATCTTTTTACCCGTTATACTGTGGTTTTTGTGCCCGAGGGGCGGATTTTTCCGTGCTTATCAGCACTAACTGTTTTGAAATCGTTTTAGTAATTATTGAAAAGATCATTTTTAAAAGAGATTTGAACTGAGCCAAGGTATTTCTAAAGATATCACATATTTCACTATTTTCTCAGAAACTTGTACCCGGCTTCTATACAGTATGTTGGTTGCTTACGTGATTTCTTGCTGCTCAGTTATTATTTACTTTTATTACTCACTGAGTTGGAGTACTCACTTTACCCCCTGCACCTCGCGTGCAGATGCAGGTAATTGTTCACCCGGTAGCGGGTTTTGAGCTGGTGGAAGATTTTGCTATCGTAGCTGAGCAAGGTGACCGCCAGCGTTCGCGGCACTGATTCATCTTCCTTTGATTCTAAATTTTATTCTGTATATTGCTGGCATTGTAGCTGTATTTAGACTCCTCTAGATGCTCGTGACTTGTGACACCCCGGTTTGGGTTGTGTTTGGTTGTACTTCCGCCAAATAATATTATTGAATCAACTTAAAAAATTGTTTATTCATGTTATCTATTTTTTTGAAAAAGGCAAATAGGGTTGGTTGGGTGGCCTTGTCTTCACGAGAGGCGCCATCACGACCGGAGCGGGGTTTGGGTCGTGACAAGTTGGTATCAGAGCCTAGGTTACTAGGTCTCATGAGTCATGAGCAGTTTTAGTAGAGTCTCGCGGATCGGTACGGAGACGTCTGTACTTATCCTCGAGAGGCTACAGAACCTTTAGGAAAACTTCACATTCTTGAATTCTTATCGTGCATCTTGATTCAGCTTGAAAAGAAACTCTTGAAATTCCTTCCACGCGTTTGTAGGAGCGCATGAGCGCTCGGTATCAGATGTGCCTTGACGGCTTGTGATTCCCCCATCGAGGGGCGAGATGTAATCCCCTTGAGCATATATTGGGCCAGTCTGGAGGACTTGAGGCCGGATCTTTGCCTATAGCTTGAGCACCGAGGTGCTGATTGTGTGAGTAAGTGATTTGAGCTTATATGTTCGATATTGTCCCTATTAGTGGAAGTGACGGCTGGATAGCCATATGATGAGTATGCTAGCGCTGCAAGATGTATCTATATGACTTGGTAGTGACGAAGAAGTCTGTTGGATGATAGATGAACTGTTAAGTGTTCGATTCCTATTGTGATTTGATGTGTAGCCCGAGTTATGGGCGCGTGAAGAATATTTTCGTGTCTCCTAGTTGGGGAGGGAAGTGCATTACATGTGGCGGTATGAGTTCAGACCCAGGAAGACTAAGTGACTGTGTAATGAGTATGACGGTGGAAGGTATGCAGAAATACTAAATTGAGGCAAAGCAGGTGGGTTATCTCCTGCGGAGTGTTCTTAAGTGGTATGATCCGTAGGGGTATGTTAGAAGATATCATGTGCAATTGAAAAGTACGTGTTGAAATTTGAAAATTCGGGTCGCTTAAGAGAGTGGACTCAACTGATGTGGGGATGAATGCGAGATTTGCAGAGGATTACAGTAATAGATGATCTGTGTTTTCACAAACTTGTAAATGATTTGAGTTTAATCTCACTATGGTATTGTGGCATCATTAGAGTAAAAGTGTTATGGGTTATTGAGTGTGTCCTGATATATGGCTTCGAGCCAAGGTGGGGAGGTTGCTGTTGATTAGCTGATTGCACGGTTATGTGCTATGTTGGTTCCGGTTGAGGCATGTTGGCGAATCAGTTCGGGTCG